GATGCGTTCTTGACCCCCGTGATGTAGAGTTCAAGAAGCGCCATTCAAGTCCGTGCGATCGCCGCACAACAAACCGCCCGCCACGAGCGCGTTGACGACACAACCGAGTTTTCGCGGTGAAAAGATGCACCTGAACTTGTCTTTGCAGTGGGCAAACAACTTTGGTATCAGCTCGTGATGTTCCTCTTCTTCATCGGGGCGCTTGCCGTCACGATCGTCATTCCGTCCGTCGGGTACAAGGTTGAAGTCGGGTTGCTTGCGGGCGGAGCCGTCACGATCTTGTCGACCGCCGCGGTCCTGTACACGTACTCGGCGATGCCGATGTGGAAGAAGCATCCGAACCCATTGATCTTTTACCGCAGTCTTTTCGACATGGGGTTTGTCCTCTTCCTGATGACAACCCAGTTGTACAAGTACGTTGCATCTTGACGTCGTCTGCATGCATCACGTCTCATGTCGATGCTGCTGCGCGCCGTAGATGCTACAACGGTAACTGCGTCGTGGACGTCGACTTGAGCCCGCAAGTGAACCAGGCCCTTCGCGCAGAAATGCTGTACTACACCACGACCGGGATCATCCAGGCCGCGCGCCTTGCGGCCACCGATGCCGAGGATATGCCGAGGATAGCGACATGCCCAAGCGAGAGCTCCACCAGACCCCGCAGGGCGGCACGGCGTCGACGACCGCCACAACGTCGACGACGCTCTTTGTCGACTACTGCCCGGCCACGTTTGCCCGTATCCGGGCGTTCTACGGCATATCCACAGACGCGTACGTGAAGAGCCTGATGAAAACGACAAAGGAGCGGCTGATCGTCAAGAGTATGAGCGAGGGCGAGGCGTCGTTCCTGCAGTCGATCGCGGCCGACTACGCGGCGTTTCTTTTGTCGCATCCCGAGAGTCTCCTCACCCGATTCTTTGGGTGCCACTCGGTGCATCTCAACGGCACGATGTTCCATTTTGTCGTCATGTCCAACCAGCGCTGTTTGGGTTTTTCATTTCGTTTCCGCTGCGCCGAAAAGTGATCATCCAGAGCCGCCTGTTGCTTGGCGCATCCACCGACGCGGTACGGCAGTTGCGCGATCTGTAGACTTGGGTAAGACAATCGATAAAATTGCAATAATCCACGTATATTTCACACTAGCTGAGCTCATGGCTTGTTACGTTCGGACGCCACTGAGGGCAAGGCTTTCATGAACGCCTTCCTGATCGTTTCTTCGCTTATCGAATCCCACGCTGTGATGGTACGTTCGATCATTTTCATTCGCTTTTCCGCAGCAGAAATCACGGGCACTTCACGCAGCCATAGGGC